GGGTATGAAACTTTGGTTAGGCGTGTTATATACCGTTGGAAAGGTAATTGTATATACCTTCTCATATAAGTTTTATTTTCAGGTTTCCGAGACACTTACACAATAATACGAAAAAAAGAAGACAATAGGTCATATACTAAAAATTAAAAAAACCGCTGTTTCGAGTTACTAAACGCTAATTTTGATTGATACACAAGTTGCATCCCACTAAGCGACCACAAAGCTCTTAAAGAAAAATACCTAAGCTTTCTGTTTGAGCAAAAAATAAAATAAAAATAAAAATAAAAATACCCCTTTTTGAAAAAAAAACATAAAAATTATTTTTTATTTAAAAAAAAATTAAAAAAAATTCATTTTAATTAAAAAAAAATAAAATTTGTAAAGACTGAAGAGAAATCTATCGAAAACATTCCTGAAAAAATTTTCTAAATACAATAGGTAATTAGTTATATGGATCCGAAAAAATGGCCGTTTGACCAAAATGTCAAAATTCTAGACCCTCCAACTCGGAGTGTGTTTGACCGATCCCATTGAAATTTTGTGTCATAACTACTATTTTTTAGGACTAACCTTGGTGCAAATTTCATCCCGATCGGAAGACATAGATTTCAAAAGTTGGGTCATTTGAAGTGAAATGCCCCATATATACATCTAAAAAATAAATTTCTTTATGCTGGATTTCCCCTGCATATGACAAAGTTGGGCATTAAAAAATATCATGTCCTTAAAAAATAGTCATTAAGTTCATTTCCACCTGGCATTTTTTCAAATGGCTGACATTTTTTGTCATTTCAATGTCTAGTGGAAATTCGGCATTGAACTTCTTAAAATACAGACCTGTTAAATTTCGAGTACAATTCCTTCTCAATACAATTACTTCATAAAGTATTTGTAATGAATTAGTGATCGTTTTTCAGCTGAAATTCAATTACTACTCGAGTACAAGTACTCGTAATTGAATAGTACTTGGAATTACCATCAATTCCCAAAAGTAATTGAAAGGTGTTGAAAGTAGTTGAATTACTTTTTCCAATTACTTTCAAGTACTTGATACCATTTTTATATAAATATATTTCAATTATTCTGCTTATTTCATAAATAAATAGATAATTTAATTCTTTAGTATATTTACTTCACACTCTGTTATCGATTGTGAACGAGTTTTTCTACAGCTGATCAATATTGTTTTTGCACAAAGCACATATGATCTACGTGGTCATACAAGTGCAAGTGAATTTGTTGTGCGTTTTGTTAATTATCCGCGTTGCTTTATTTGTATAATATTATTAATTTTTGTTATTAATTGCAGTGTTAATATATAAATATTGGTAAGTACATAATTTGATTTTATATATAATAGAATATAATTCGTTTTTTGACGGGAGTTATACACATGTGTGTACATGTGTTTTGTTATTGTAATTACTAATAACACAACATGTGTTGTGTGAATGAATTTCGTAATACAGACAAGAAAATAACTTTACGTGCACATATTTTTTGTGGTTATGTTTGTTTTTTAATGATCATATGTAAAGTACATACATATATTCAACTGTCAGAGATGTGCATATGTAAAGCATATATATTCATACTAAAAAACATTAGTTAAATTGACCGTTTTCTTCTCCATATAGTAAAATTAGTAATACTTTTGATGAGGGTGACTTTTCGGCTGATGGCAACGTTCCCGACTGGATCCCGACTTTATACCAGAAAAGCCATCGCGTAAGCGAAGATTACATCTGGACGAACCTTCTTCATCCAAAGTGGCACGGGTCAACGCCATACCGTCCAGCAACATATTTTGCTCCGAATTTTATACGGATGTGAAACAATTTTGTTCTTATGTTTGTGAAGTGCTGTATTGTGTGTTGCGTTTATGTATTTTTAATAACAAAATAATTTTTTAGTAGAGGTAATAATGTTGTGTACAATAATTTTAATAGAAACAAAGTTCACAAATTAATAAGATAAAACTATTATTCAAGGTTGAAATTTCTGGCAAAGTCTCAGTGGAAGCGAAGTGTTCTGCCTCTGGTTGTGGACGTATCATAAAGGGGGCCGGGGGAGTTACCTCCAATTTCATCAAACATTTGAGACGAAGACATAGCGAGTTATTTGAGAAGTATAAGATTGTGAAGGTAAATATACAGAAATTAAATTTATAAAGCAATATTAAATAACAATCAATATTTCAGACTCTCAAATCAGATATTCAAACCGCACAACAGAAGTTTGAAAAGAAACTTCTTTTCGCTATCGTTGATTGCAGTCTGCCTGTTTCACTTTTTGAACGTCGCTCTTTCCGAGACTCATATGAAATGACTGGACTTAAAGTTCGCAGCAGGCAGACAGCCATGATGATATTGGAGGACCAATATAATAGCACGTTGGAGAAAATACGAGCTGATATCTCATCAGCTAAGTATTTTTGTACAACGGCCGACATATGGTCGGGTAATCACCGCAGCTTCTTCAGATCCACGTGCCACTGGTTGGTGCTTTAGCTTGCAGGAGACTGACTGGTACACATTCATCCGAAAAACTGACGCAGGTCATTAGCGACATTAACAGCTCCTTTGGACTACAGTATATTTTACTTAGCTGCCCATCATTCTTTGCACGAAAAACTTGTGCGCTTAACCGAAAAAAGCACTTAAGCGAATTTTCTTTACTACTTCAATGAGGAAGGTATCCGAATCCCTATGAAACCAAATAATGGAGGAGCACTTACCACGTAGAAATTACTGCAAGAGAAATTTTTTCCGAATGGTATCTAATTATCTATATAACTACATAAAATAATTGCCGTTTTCTTTGTTCTGCGAGATGAGAAAAATAAATAATAGCTTGTAAAATTAGGGTAAGTGTAGAGCCAGTGCAGGTAAACGTAATACTTTCTTTGATAATTGATAATAGTTGCAAATTTTTAAGGCAGGTATCGCTAATGTGCAGGTATGTTGAATGCAAGTATCGGAGCAGTTTCCTTATAAATGTTAAAAATAATGCCGCTGATGTGCATTTCGGGGTAGGTATCTTAAATGTGCACTTAAGCACAAAGGCAGCAAAGCAAAATATACTGTAAACAGTTCAAATGTCGTCATGACTGTCACTGACAACGGTTCGAATTTTGTGAAGGCGTTCAAGGAGCACGGGGTTTCCCCAGACATGGGCGACATCGATAATGGCCTGCGTCAGTTCGAAAATGAATGGCTTTTGCCTAAGCATCAGAGATGTGCCAGTCACACCCTTAATTTGCTTGCGACTACTGACTTCTTGAAAATTTTGAAATCAAACGGAGAACTTGATTACCAGAACACTATGGTAAATTTCTATTCATTTCTTTATTGTTTTTTTGGTTCATGGTTTTTTTAAATCATTCAGGTTTTTCAAAAGTGTAACGCTTTGTGGAAGAAGTGTTCGTATCCAAAGTCCTCGGAAGTGGTAGTTCGTGTTTTAGGCTGTTCACTTGTTGTCCCCGTAGTAACCCGCTGGAACTCATTATACGATGCGGTAAAAAGGTTACTGCAGCATAAGGAAGAACTGGGACACCTGTGCTGCGAAGTGAATGTGCCGCAAATCCACTCAGGGGACTTGAGATACCTGGAGTCATACGTTGCATTAATGGAGCCGGTAGCTGCAGCGCTTGATTTTATGCAGGGGCACAAAGATATTAAATATGGCTTCCTTATACCGACTCTCATGACGCTGAGCAATAAGCTAATTAAATTTAGCGAAAATAAGGAATTCGTTCATTTCC